ATCACAACAGTCCTGCTCCTGGAATTTGGGAATAGCCCAGAAATGCAACCTTTTCTCTTTCTCCTTTTTTTGGTGATCTACGTTGTGACTGTTATTTGCAACATCCTCATTTTTGTTTTAGTGGTGGCTGATCGGCACTTCCACAAACCCATGTACTTCTTCCTGTGCAACTTGCCCTGCTTGGAGACCTGCTACAGCTCTACCATCCTGCCCAGGATGTTGTCCAGCTTTCTGACTGGGGACAAGAGCATTTCTATTGGCGGCTGCATCACACAATTTTATTTCTTTGGCTCCCTAGCAGTCACTGAAAGCTTTCTTTTATCAGTGATGTCCTATGATCGGTATTTAGCTGTATGCCAACCCTTTCACTACAGAGCTGTCATGAATAGCAGATGCTGCCTCCAACTTGTAGCTTGGTCTTGGATGAATGGTTGCCTTGTTATGGCCATAAGCTGCTTCCTGATTTCACAACATTCCTTCTGCGGTCCCAAGTTTATTGATCATTTCTTTTGTGATTTCACTCCAGTGATAAAACTCTCCTGCTGTGACACCAGCCTGACTGAGATGTTGGTGTTCATCCTCTCATGGGTATGTGCACTACCCCCTTTCATACTGACCCTAGTGTCCTACGTGTGTATCATCACCACTGTCCTAAGAATGTCTTCCACCACTGGGATGCAAAAAGCTTTTTCCACCTGCTTTTCCCACCTCATTGTTATTACAGTTTTTTATGGAAGCTTAATAATTGTTTATGTTCTGCCAAAAACTAGGACTCTAAGTGCACTGAATAAATTCTTCTCAGTTTTCTACACTGTTGTGACTCCACTGCTCAACCCACTCATCTACAGTCTGAGAAATAGAGAGGTGAAGGATGCTCTGAGTAGAGTCATCAAGAAATGTGAATATATCCTAAACGTTAGATAGTTTTAACCATTTTCTTCCCCTAGAAGACAATGAAAGAAAATAACTTATGATATTTGAGGGAAGATTCTCCTCACGCAATTTTTAGTCTTCAGAACCTGTGTTGCTTATCCTAGACTTTTCACTATCAAATTAGCTAATCTGACCTACCTTAAATGCCCAAGTGAGAATGAGACATTTTTCTCTGGAAAAGGGTCATCTCTCTTTACAAATTTTACCAGTTGCTTGGGTAACTAGTTCAGATTTCAACGTCTAACTAGTGATTCTCCAAATCAGCTGATTGCAATCCCAGTCCTCTGAAGAGTGACCTATTTCACTTTAAAAGTGTTGTTGAGGACAGCTGATTCTTAGATGAATAATTTAGATTTAAGGAGTAATTTTTTTAGGCAGCTAAAGGTAGGTCAGAGGAATGGACCCAATTCAGAGGTAGCAATTTAATCTCTGTTTTAGAGTAACTATACAAGCATGACTATAATTGTCTCAGCGAATATGAATGCTACACAGTTGATTGCATAGCTGTAAATAACTCTTAATGGGTTATATGTTTTTAGACATTTCCTATTCATATTTATTGTAATTGTCATCTCAGCTATTTTCAGCTATTTATGTGAACTTCATAAGTTTTCTCTTCCAAAGTCAACTCTGATGGCAAATGTGAACACAAGTTCTACAGAGATGCCTTACCCAATGTCCTCTTATAAGGTGATTTTGTAAGGAAGCAAATAAAAGACATTGCTGTCATCAAGGACAAACAAACAATTAAAAATATCTTGAAAGGTGAAATGCAAATTTTGGCTGGGATTCATCCCAGCATGTAGACACCACATGCAATTATCAATCTCTGAAACAATTGTCTAGGTTGACTTGATAATTGACTAGCTTAGTCTCTGTTGCATGATTTGGGGCATTAGGCAAAATAGTAGCCATCTGAATTAACACAATCAATGCAGGAGAAAGCACCTACTTTGTCAATATCAAAGTTTGAGGAGGGGAACCACAAACATAGAGTTAGTTCTTCATTAATATGTTGAGATGCAAAGAAGGCTGAAGAAAAAGAACTATCTTAAACTTTTTTCCTCAGAAAGACACCCATACATTTTCATTTGAGTAACTACAAATGCTTTTCAGCACTTAGTCTGAGATTTTAACATTCCTCTAACATTTTATGGCTATGATTTAGATGCCTAAGCCACAGCTTGTCACCCTAGAAGTCTTCAAGAATCAATGGAGAAAAATTTACACAAACTGGTGATTTCTGTGACCTTTCCTTTGAGCCAGCAATGTGCCCTTGGCACCAAAAAGGCCAATGGAATCCTGGGCTGCATAGGGAAGAGTGTGACCAGTAGGTCGAGGGAGGTCGTTCTCCCCCTCTACTCGGCACTAGTGAGGCCACAACTGGAATACTGTGTCCAGTTTTGGGCTCCCCAGTTCAAGAGGGACAGGGAACTGCTGGAGCGAGTCCAGCGAAGGGCAACCAAGATGACTGAGGGATTGGAGCATCTCCCTTACGAGGAAAGGCTGAGAGAGCTGGGACTCTTTAGCCTGGAGAAGAGAAGGCTGAGGGGAGACCTTATTATTGCTTACAAATATCTAAAGGGAAGGTTGAAGGAGGATGGAGCTAGACTCTTCTCGGTGGTTCCCGGTGACAGGACGAGGGGCAATGGGCACAAGTTGGAGCATAGGAAGTTCCGTTCCAATACATGGAAAAACTTCTTTACAGTTCAGGTGACAGAGCAGTGGCACAGGCTGCCCAGGGAGGTTGTGGAGTCCCCTTCTCTGGAGATTCTCAAGACCCGCCTGGATGCAGTCCTGAGTAACGTGGTCTAGCCAATTCCTGCTTTAGCAGGGGAGTTGGACTAGATGATCTCTAGAGGTCCCTTCCAACTCTGAAAATTCTGTGATTCTGTGTGATTAAAGACTCTGGATACTTTTGTTGATACATGGTGAATGTTGAATCTTATCTGAATTTGTTTCTGGACCAATGTCCCTGTGTTCTCCTTGATATTGAGAATTCCCTCTGAACTATGTTAGTGAGGTTTTTTTTCACTTGCTTCCTTCACTTCCCTGTGGTCTTTTTGGGTGTGATTCAGCTTATTTTAAGAATTCATAAGGTGAGATTGTGAAGCCTCCCTTTATAGACAGAGGAAAGAAATGATCACTGAAAGGCTGTGATTCATTTGACCAGCCCTGAGCCCAGATTTAAGTTCAAACAAACACATAAATGCATGAATGTGGGTGTCTATAATGAAGGTATGTGAGCTAATTCCCTGTGTGTTGGGAAATTAAACCTTTTTTCTTAGCCAAAGGAGCTAAATACAATACAATCACTCTGGAGACTAACTCATCTGATGAATTAGAGGTTTCTACTTCAGGGCAACTGTGAAAGCTCTCCACCCTCCACTGGGTAGAAAGTTACCCAAACATAGGCATCTAATGCCACTTAAGATGCCTGAAGATGTCAGAGACAACTACACAGGGCAAGAAGATTAACATAAGAAACTGGTACTCTCTTGGAGATGTGGAGAAATATGCTTATGTCATATCAGCGTCAATGGGTTTATTGGCAGGTACAGCTGCAAACACATAAATATCTGATGCTAGATATTGGCTATTATAGGGACTCTCACCTTGCTTTCAGATGCCATAACAGCCTTCTTTAAGTTTTATGTCATGTATGTCTGCTGGATGTGGACTAGAGCAACTGATTCTGGTCCTTCTAGCATGTTAGGGGACTACCAAACTTTTCACTTTCAAGGACCTGATGGAAACTTTAGAGGTGGGGTTCTTCTGACAAGTCTAAGTTTCTATGCTATACACTGTCAGCATTGGCTGGTTCACTTTTTAGTAAATGGAGAGAAACAGGCACTTGAAGGGTATCTGACTAAATGTAAAGATCTAGTTTAGGGTGAGAAGCATCAATCCCTGTTCCTGTCCCTTAGTTCCTAAGAAGCAAGGAGAGCATTGAAGAGATGGAGATGTCTGTATTATGACTGTCTCCATTTACTTGGAGGCCAACCATCTTAGATGCCATAAAGTGTAGCCCAGTGTGGATGACCTAAATTGTATTTTGACAGCTTGTCTAAATCTTCCTACAATGAGTGGCAAAAGATGCTCTTCCGGAGGGTGACACTCTCATAAATAGTTTAAAATATATCACCAAAAGGCCAGCTGAGAAAAAGAAGTTCATCAGTTGAGAAGTCACTTACCATGCCTATAAACACTGTCTAGCCCTCTAACAATCACTCACCAGCCTTGGTTCCCATCAGAACAAGACCTAAACAAAAATATGAAATAAAATAACCCATTGCTAGAGAAAAAAAGGCTCATAAATCTCTGATGCTCCGATTTGTAATTTTTCTACCTCTACAGAAAAGTAAAAATAAATGGACTTTAAACATCATGAGGCAGAATTTTTTTAAGCCCTTCAAGGGACATCGATGTAATTTACCTCAACTTTAGTCAGGCTTTCAATGTTGTCTCCCAAAACATTCTTATATGCATTAGGATATTACGGTCCTGGTGGCTGGACAATTAGCTTGCTACAAGTCTGGCTGGATAGTTGGGCTTGGACAGCAGTAATTAACTGGTCATACTTTGCCTGGAGGCTGAAAACAAGTGAAGTACTGCAGGAATCTACACTAGGACCTGTCCTGTTTAACTTGGAGGATGTTGCAGAGTACTTTTCTGTAAAGTTTGCAGATGGCTAGTTGATAGCCTTGAAGATCAGGCTGCCATTCAATAGGATTTTGGCAGGCAGAAGGAATAGGGGACAACAAGAGCTGCACGAAATGTAACAAGGAATAACCCTGGTCAAAAATACAGGCTGGGTACTGGTTGTCTTGGTAGCAACTTTTCAGAAATGTGCCTGGAGACCTTGCAAACAGCAAGCTGAATATGAATCAGCAGTGTGCGCTGGTAGCAAATAAAACAGCATTCTGGCTTGTGTTAACAGGAGCATAGTCAGTAGATGAAAGGAAAGTTTGTCTCTCTCTAGCTGGAATTCATTAGTCCACATCTAGCCTAATGCATCCAGTTTTAGGTCCCAAAATCAGTAAAGACATCATGACTGAGTTGAGCAGAGTGCCACCAAGAAGGTCAGTGAGCTTGAGCACAGCTAAGAAACTCTTGAAGAAGTGCTGGAAACAACAACAATGAAGGTGACAATTCAGTGCTCTTACTCTCATTTTTAAATATATGGCAAAGGAATGAATCAGTGCCTCATTGAGTATCCTATTTTGTTTTCTGCCTGTTTCCAAGCTGCTTCTTTCACTAGCCCCATAAAAGAGTATCCCGTCACCTGTTTCTCCCCTTGTCTCTAATCCTTTGCTGCCATCTGAAGGCCAGTAAGATTCAAAAGCACCTCCCTGGTACTGCGTGAATCCTTCACTTTGTGTCTTGCATTCCTGTCCTTCCCACTGCACTTTTAAGACCCAGATTTTCACTTGTGTAAATAGACGTAATTCAGGCAATATCTCAATGATATCCATAGGACCAGGGTGAAAAAGAATTCTGCTTGGACGTTGCTGCTGCAGTAGTAATACTGCATTGCCAGGAGCTGGAACACAGGGATCTGCAGTCCTAAACTGTCAGCATGTTCCTGGGATGGGTAAGCAGTCCAGGGAAACCCCGAGAAACAAGTCAGGATTTAGCATGAGCCAAAGTCTTCTACCCAGCAGGCAATCTGGGTGGGGCATCTCAGTTTTGGTGATTAGAAGAGTTCAGTGAACAGATGTGGCCAGACTATGTCAGCTGGCCTCTGGGCCAGAAAACAGGCCCTAGCACATGGACTTGACTTTAAAAAAAATATATAGCTTAAGCAATTTAGCATGGTGATGTCTGAAAGTGCATCCCCTGGTGCAGAAACAATCTTGACTAATCACAGAATCGTGGGGGTTTGAAGGGACCTTTGGAGCTCATCTAGTCCACCCCCCCTGCCAAAGCAGGTTCACCTAGACCAAGTTGCACACAAATGCATCCAGGTGGGTTTTGAGTATCTCCAGAGA